TGTACTAACCGAATCAGTCCCTAAACCCTAAACCTCTAAACCCTGAGCCGAGCTCTCTGATCCTCAAGGCCAAGAACCAAAACACCGAAAGGCAACACTCTAAAGACTAAAGCCCCCAACTCTAATCCCAGTTCTAAGCCCCGAAAGCCCCTAAAACTCTAAACCCCCAAGAGCCCCTAACTCTAAACCCCTAACTCTAAACCCCTAAAGCCCCTAACCCTAAACCCCTAAAGCCCTTAAACCTCTAAAGCCCTCATTGAGGTTCTTGAATCCAATGCAACTCTCAGCGAAGGTCCTGATTGTCCGGCCCTGGCCGGGTTGCATGCTTCTTCCTGGGCTTCGCTTGCGGTAGGCATTGGTGTCTATTGCTAGGTGGTGGGGGTTAGAACTTAGCATATTCTGATCCATGATATTTAGACTACATAATATAGTATAGCGTCACAAGGTCTAGAAAAGTCTAGAAAAGTACAGTTAAAGTGTAACATAGTATACACTCTTGCGATCATGATCCGCGGTCTAGTGTTTAGGGCTTCAGTTTTCGGCCGTCGGGATGGAGTTGTGGGTGGAGACGCCCAGGGCTTCAACTCGTTGACCTCCATTGGTTTGTGGGTCGTTCTCTAAATTAGGTTCCTGTTTAGATCCGAGCAACTCTACCATCATGGTACTATTACGTTTAGGGTTTAGGGTTTAGGATTAGCCCCAATATAGTACGGCACCCTTAACAAAAGGGCCTTAAAAGGCTTTTAGGGTTCTTTTTCTAAAAGTGCCGTACTATATTGGGGACCCCAAAAAGGAACCCTAATTTAGAGAGCTACCCCGGTAGATTTTCGTAAAAGCCTCCGTGTTCCGACCTCAGAGCCTTCCATGCCACATGTCCTAAACCCTAGACCCACAGCCAAATATACGCACCTTAAGAATTACCTATACTATTTTGGGGGTTCCTTAGTAGAGTTATAGTATAATATACCCCCAAAACAAAACCCTATTCTCATTCTTAAGGCCCCTACATTCAACCCTGAACCCTAAGTAAACCCTAAAGGCTTTAGCCTAACCCCGGAACCCTCAAGCCTATAGGCTGAAACTCAACCGGAAGCTCCATGCGGCCCACACACATGATGATTCGTTTAGGCTTTAGGGTTTAGGCTTTAGGGTTTAGGGTTTAGGGTTTAGGGCTTAGGGTTTCTATGATCATTCTGAATTTGCTCGCAGATTTAGGCTTCTGGCCAAACTCACCCGCCTGTCTTGTTTTCCGAGCTATGATTTCCTAAATCCTAAACCCTAAACCCTAAACCGTGGCTATGATTTCATAAATCCTAAACCCTAAACCCTAAACCGTGGCTATGGTTTCATAAATCCTAAACCCTAAACCC